AAAGCTCAGAGGTTAGACCTATACCTGATTTTGAAGCAACTAAAGGACAGAAGTATTCCTGATTTTAGTTTGTCACAGGGAAGAGACAGCCTGGGGAAACCCCACACAACCCAGGCTGCTGAAACTTGGAACAAGCACAAGCTTTGCTGGGAGTACACCATGACCGATATTCGAATATCTGGTGTTTGGGGTATGCAGAGCTATTTCTACGTTTTCATGGTCTCCTGGAAACGTAGGAGAAATAACAGGCTCATTTACAGGAATTTAGGGCAACTGCGTTAAATGAAACATTGAGAAGGTGGTGCAAGGGAGAGTTTGCTACCACTGACTAGGGGCCACTAGATGGCATCCTTTGCACATTTCTTATAATAAATGGCTGTACAATTACTGAAACACATCTTAAAACAACAGCGAGTCAGGCAAAAGAAGTGTCTCCCAATAACGTAGAGCAGGTCAGCAGAAGTCGGAGAGAGAAGAGCATTTCAGACGTTCCCAAAGATAAGACACAGCTGTAGAAAAAGATATTTGGAGTCAAGAGAATAAAGGACTCTAGCTACATCAATTAGTCTTAACATGCAGGTACATTACACTGAAAGATTATTAGACATTCTAGCAAACTCTGATTCAGTTCTCACCGAGTACAAGAGGTCACTAAGTTGCTTATCACCACGTCTTCTAATAATCCATAACGTTTCTATTGTTATAATTAACTCATTTTTCTCATGTCCGCGCTATGCTCCTAATAGATACTAGGCATTTGGGCATCCCTTTATATATGTACAAAGTGGGTGTGTATATATATATACACACACACACAGAGACCAAAAAATATGTATATTTATGAAGAGACCTCAAAGCTTCTGGTCCCATCTTGTATTTGAGTCACATACATTCTTGGAGGCCCAGGAAATTTAGAGAATCTGCCTAAAAAACTGGCTCAAATGCATTAAGGCAATGATGGTCATTTACACAGAAACTCACTTTACGATGCTTTAACGCTGCATAGTTACAACCTGTTTCAGGTTACTTTACCCTTGTAGCAGAGCAGCACAATATACTTTAAACATGAATAGTGGTAATGTCCAGATAACCTCTTCTTAGTCCAGAGATGAAAACCCAGAAATATGAGCCAGGTGTTGAAGCTATTTCAGTTTGCACATTTAGTTTAAAGGGGTCAAAGCATAAATCACCTTTACAAGTTCTACTCCCAACCAAGGAAAACTGAGGTAATAGTAATGCAAACATCCAAAAAGATGCTTTCAGAGAACTCCTTCTCAAGCTCCAGTTTTGGAAGCCTGCCCGAGGAAGGAAAGGCATGTTAGACACAGTGACCCAGCCTTTATGGGATTCTGAGAGTTGCCCTTTCTTATTCAAGGCTTCAGGACTCTACAGGGGACACAGCTCCAGCCTTCAACCCCGTGCAGAAGCAGGATAGTGCCCAAGTGACTTAAGGTCCCGGACTGCCCCAGGACCCACGCTGTGTACAAAGATTCTGCACTGCACCTTGGGCATGCTGCATGAGTTTTATTAAGGACCTAAAGGTGGAGTTTTTTAAATATATCTGGTTTTCCATCCACGCAGCTGATCAAACAGTGATGTCTTCCAAAGTTAGCATAAACAATTATTTTGACTCTCTGACTCATCTACGTAGCAAGAGGGCCTGATTTTATTCACTCATTCCAACATACATTTATTTTCAACTCATGGCCCACCGTTTCAGGCATCTCAGAAGTTCGGGATGAACGCACCTAGGATTGCTTTGGTTTGTTTCAGTTTCATCAACATGACACATTAGCGCCACAGCAACAGTTAGCATCACTTAGATGCGTCGTACGTCAGTATTAGCCAGCAGCACCAAATTACAAAGCAAGGCTATGTTTTACAATGTAGGTCTTCCCTACACTGATTAGCTATATCAGAAGGCCCTCATATTTTATTTGAGGAGGCCACTCAGTCAATTAAAAGTGCAAGGCTCATTGGGTAAGGAGCTAAAGGGCAAATACATTAAATGATAAACAATAGAGGAAGTTTGTGCTCTTGACAAAGACAGACAGGCTTTGCCAAGATGATGATACATCTTGTCTATGTAGCTTGCACAGCTAGCAAATTAAAAAAAAAAAACCACACAAAATTACTTACACTGACAGTTGGGGTTTTTTTTAAGTTTGTTTGGGGGTTTTTTGGGAGTGGGTTGTTGGTTTTTTTTTCCCTTCCATCTAAGCCTATCACTTGGCACAAATTAGCACGAGACCATGCTACATTTGATCCTGCAAAGGTATGGAGTTAAAAAAAAAAAAAAAAAGGGAGCTCAAACGGTTTAGAAGCCTGGTTCCTGCAAGACCAATGGAAGATAAGCAAAGAGGAGGAGTAACACAACTGCAAGTTCTTTGATTGTGAAAAATAAGCTGCAGTTTACCAGCTTCCCATTCACGTGTTATCATGAGAACGTGTTCTTTTTACTGTTACCATGCCCTCCTGCTGAAGGAGGAAGACACGCTTATCTGTGGTGTCCTTTTGGAAAACAATCAATTCCTCCACAACCTCAGCACTCCAAGGGCAGTATACAATTTCAGTTAAAAGCAATTGCCAAGGCCACTGCTGATAAATGCAAATGAAATGCAGAATATCAAGAGAAAGGAAAAGGGGAGATGGAAGGTAGGTAAAGAAAGCACCACCAAAAAACCAGAAACATTTCTTTAAAGCAGGGCAAGACAAAGTAGTCTCTATTTCAAGTCAGGTTGGCATTTTTACCAGCAGCTAACAAAGCACACCTTGCTCTTGTCATTGACAAGTTCTTGGGTTCAATTCAATGCTTTAAATTTCCCTACTCTATATGTAAATACCTACTTCACAGAGTTTGTAGCTTCTTTTGTCAAGACAGCCAAAAAGTGGCAGAGAAAATATAGACAACCCCACCGCTCCTCCCACAGCTCCATCACAGGTGACATGTAAAACTTGTACATTCAGAGGTCTGAGCTATACTTTTACAAGACTTGGAGTCATAACAGTAATGAGGGTCACACATTCAAGGGCTCTTCGCCTCTTGGTGAGCTGGGGAAGTATCGTAGGACAGGAAAAAAGGCACATCATCTCCTAATGTCCTACAGAAGCAGAGCCCAAATGAGACAGTTTCTGTTCCAACAGTTCATCTCCCCATCTTTTCCTGTCTCTGGCCCTTCTTTTTGCCTGTTCTGTCTCCCTTTTTACCTCTGAGCAGGAAGCACACAGTAGTGTGGGAAGGATGCTCCCAACACTGGTCTTAACCGCTTGCATACAACTGCGGTCTCCGTTAGCGACTTTCAGACATCAGTCACACAGAAGGAAAAACTCCCAATTTTAAACTCTGGCACACTGAAGAGATTTAACAGTTACCAGGATAGTCTGTCACATTTCTTCAGATTTTTATACTTAGAAACTAAATCAACAGCTTCAGCAGACATGGAAGCACAGCTTACTACAGTCAGGAGCAAGCAGACCTCTTTTGCAATAAGAGAGCCTAAAGCAGTTTTCCTCTGTAGACATACTGCTAGCACTCTCCCTACCCGGGTGGCTAATACCTTTTTAAAAGGGCAGTTTCTCCTACTGCTTACCTATGACACTGGACTGACTGATCCACCAAGAGAATTCACATACCTGTAGCAACTAAACCCAGGGATGATAGGCCAGGCCTGGCCACAGAAGATGAGCGCTCAGTTCTGTGCTACTTCTGTGCCATGCAGCCTCAGGGCAGTTATCACCTCTGTTAGCCTCTCCCCTGAATATTAGTTTTCTAGACTCTCCAGGGCTGGGCAGCGTTGTATCTGTGCACCCGTCTTTCTGCAGGGTGTATTTGTGCTCACCATGGCAGGAGCGCTCTCTCTCTGCTGAGACCCCAGTCAATGGGCTGCTGTCACGTAAACCTGATTAACTGTCCTTACCAACTCACCTGTCTTAAAGCACCTTGGGCAAAATAACACCTATTCGTGTGTGCTTCATTAGTGATGTTCAGATCATTAAAGAAGCCAGATTCTTCCACATGGGAGCTACTTAACAGGAGAGTAAATATTTTATACAAAGAAATACTATAGGTGACAGAAATATTTCCATCTCAGATTCCTTAAGTGCACTTGCTCTATTTATTTCTGGAGGGTGGGCTTGTCAGAGAGCAAATCAGTAGCGTTCACATCAAGCGGTAACACAAGCAGGTAGCTATCCAGAAATAATTACAACAGAGGATAATGGAGGTCACATCATATGTTTTCTTTAATTTGTGCAATGCATACAGACAGAGAAAGGGATATAGCAAAAATCAGAAGACACAATATAATTTAAAAATACGATATGTTTTTCTACAACGTTGTCCTTGGCTGTGACTAATTTATCCCAGCATCACACACCCAGGCATCAGGGACACGCTGCTCTGGACACTGTTCTGCTGTTTGTCAGTGGGACCCTGAAAAACTTCCTACGTTGCCATCCCTGGTCTTGTGACATGGAGTGGAAAGGCAGCAACTGCCTCTTTCCCTCTGACATCCAACACTTCCTCTCCAACTTGCAATTCAGAAAATGTATTTTGGTGAACTGCTTAATGTCTTCCGACATCAGGAGACCTATCTCTACAGCAACACAGTGATTGTGGCTCACAGGAAAACTGCTAGTCCAAGTCATTGATAGAGGCTAGGAGTACAGAGGTGTTTTATTACGAGTTAAGAAGCTACCATTTAAGTCTTTAGGGTAGCACAAAGATTTAAAAAATGGTGTTTTAATGAACCTAGGTAATTTTATTGCAGATTCTTCTCACTCAACATTGGAGAGAATTTTACTAGTATATTGTAAATCTTCCTATTTATAAAATTATATCCTTGTTTAATACAAAATACTATCTCTTTATGGTTTCCCTGCTGTGTCATATGCAAAATATCTTAGAGGAACAGAAGGAAAATATGTCGGTTTTAATATAAAAAATAGCCCATTTTCTGGTTGAGAGAAGTCATGGAAAAATGAGATAAAATAAATACCATTTAACAAACATTTCCGTCTCCCACAGATCCATTTTCTATTACTATCTGGCAATATTTTTTCTGTTGCTCTTCCTTGAAAGACTCTTTGACCTTTTTCCTTTTCAGTCCCCCATCCCTGAAAGATACAGAAAAGAAACAGCCTTGAGCTCACTTCAGGGTCAAGGCAGAAAAACGTTACAATATTTAGACTATGGAGTCAAAGGAGTTTTCACCCTAAATGCTGGCTTTTGCAATACAATAATAAATTATCTGTACTGCCAAGACTTACCACACAACACAAGCATTGCCCTTCCTTTAATCCAGCATTTAACAGGCAAGTTATTTTCACCAAATACTACCTGCTCGCTAGATCCACCTGTCAGCTCCGTTTCTCTTTTTATATTATATCAGTCTATTTATTCTAGTGGAACTGTTCAAGGAATAAAGTAATATTTTCTGAGTCAGTAAGGGTGATGGAGTACAGCCCAAGCAAAGCAAATCTGGAAGAAGTTTTAGAAGATTCCAGGCTAATGTTTCAGAATACAGAACACCTAAATATGCTTTAAACCCAACCTCAAGGGTGTTGCTTCTTACCAAGGAAGCACAGACATTCCTCCCCGAGCAGCAATGACAGCCTTGACTCTGTTGGCAAAGTGAACAGCGTCTTCTTCTTCCTGAAAAAAAAATATATGAAAAATTTGCTTTGCAACTTAAACATTTCCTCCATGTCTCACTTAAAGAGATGCTTTTTGTTGGACAGCAGGCACTTGGGTTTATGCCAGGCCCACAAGCCAAACATGACCTGCAGGGCAGTTCCAGCTGGTCCTGGGGAACGCTGCCTGGCTTGCCACCATTTGGTGCCAAAAAGAACTAAGTGAGAGGCTCTGTGGTTTCTGGGGCAATCTCAAACAACACACAGCGTGAGGTCACAGGTCTGGCCAGAGCAGGGGATGCATCTGTTCCCAGTACTTCAGTATCAGTCTGAAGCTGGGAACACACCGACAGGATCACCCTTGGAGGAGATGGGGTGCCTTGAACAGGGTTGGGGCCTGGTGCATTCAGGATCAGTGAATTATTGTGAGTTCACAGGAGTCTGTCTGCCCAAACTGCAGAGGACTGAAGATAGATGCATTACAGCAGCTTCCCTGCCAAGACTAGGGCTGAGCAAAGACCAGGGCAGGCAGTACCAAACTGGGGCATTGCTGGAGCGAAGGCCTTGACCACTTGTCAACGTCAGGTATCCAGGGGCAATGGGCTGAGAGGTTGTGCCAAGTTATGGGGTAAAGCTGCTGGGCAAAGGATTAGCTGGATATTCTGCAGGGCTGAGAAACAAGGAGGTGGGAGGAAGCTGTGCAGATGGAGGTAGAGGGGGGACGCAGAAGGCAGAAGCACCCCAGTATAGAGTGAAGGCCTGAATCTTTTACTCCAGAAGCGATACATAAAAGGAGGTATGTGCCAGGCTGAGGGGCAGGACTCCTGCAGCATAAAACCATATTTCAACATCTCTTCTAGTCTCTGGGAGCAGAGGAAAGCAAGGCAGCTACACCCAAGTAAAGAAGCTGTTTGGGAGCAATAGGGAGCATGGTACAGAAATGTCTGAATATCTGCAAGAGTAGTTTTTACTTGAAGATAACTAACCCATGTATATCCGTGCTCACTTAATTTTAAGACTACAGTGTTGCTTTCTGGCCTTTGTTCATTAAGTTGTCAATAAAGATTCACAAACATAATGCCAACACACGGTGCACAGTAATGCAGACTTCCTCCCAGACAACATTTTATAAGCATTTTCAAAACATACGAAAGCGTAAGTACCTCTTTGACCATTGGTGGCAGGTACCACACATTACAGACAATAGCCCAGCTGGTCATCACATTAAAAATGTAGGTCATCATGGAATACTTTGTGCTGTTCCAGAACGCATCTCCAAAGCGGGGGTCATACTGGAAGACAAGAAGAATAAGCAAAAGAGCATGATCTGCTACCTTAGTTTAAATCACGTAAGCTGCTCCTTTTTGGCCACAAAGTTACAGTTCAACTTGTTAAATCAGGGGCAAATCTAATCACACCTCCTAAAAGCAGCAGTAAATTCAGACTAAAGCTCCACATTTCAACATTTATGACAAGTTTATAACAGTTAACCTTGACAAGCAATGCAGGACCCCAAACCGTGACAGTTGGGGGTCACATTGAAACACATCTCAAGTATAACAAGATAGAGCTACTCAAAATGTAAAGATTTGTCATCTACAGCATGCTGACTACAAAGGTTTCCTTGAAAACGCCCATACCAGTTTTAACAATTTCCATAAAATTAGGCAACATCATAGTTCCAGAAAAAGTAACTAACATATCTAGAGTTAGGGTGACTTGGCTAAAGCTACTCAGAAAGCCTTGGAAGTGCCAAGAAGTGCCTTTATCCCAGAGCACACAAGAGCCAGGAGCGCTAGGACAGAAAGAGCAGGCAGAACTGAACACACAGCATAGTAATTGCAACTGTGCTTTTCAGGTTGCTCCTAACCAGCTGTAAAGATACTCAGTGAAACATTTCCCATACTGCACTGAACCGCAAGACATTGTGCACCATAAAAAGATTCCGTTTTCTCAGGGCTTATTCAGTACCTTATTCATACAGAACAAACCCCTTTTTAAGGTTTACACATGAACAGCTTCTCTGACATGAGAAGCTTCTGCAAATAACCCTTCCACTTTTGGGAAACTGCAGATAGGTTACCTTGATTGCTACTGGATGGATGGTCCCTCCGACCTCAAAGCTTCCCTTCTTAAACATCATTACTGATGTGTTGTTTATGCAGGTACCTGGCCAGAATTAATACAGATGAAGAGTTTAACCCACTCCAAGAAAAGTATCAGCAAATGACTCCTAAACTGTCTTAAGGAGACTTAAGTTGCTAGAGGAGAAAGCAAGCTTCAGTTCTGAAACATAATCCCAGAGCCTGTTCTCTCTTCCATTATGCTATACGCTAAAGCAAATAGACTGTCATAAAAGTGTGGTAAAATACTAGAATCTGACTTTTAATATCTCACAAGAGCTAATTAATTCTACAGACTAAAAACAAACACCTCACTTGTAAAGACTGGGTATAATAAACTGTACTCAGTGGCAAGAAGTGAGAAGAGCAATAAAATCAATATAGTTGTTTCCTACCTTCCGGGAAAATTAAAATGGGTAGTTTGGCCTTCTCTGCAATGTGTTCTCTAATTCTGTGGAGAGAAAATAAAATTTCAGTGTATACTTCGTATTTGTATTTGGCCAAGAATCTAAACATCCATTACCTCTTACATAGGACAAGAAACAATTGCCTCGCCCAATTGCCCTTTGCCAGTCAGTAGCCTCAGCCAGGATGTATGCTAGTTTCAGGCCTTTATCTCCAAGGTTCTCTCTTGCTAATTGCAAAAGTAGGTTTTCTACAAAACTATGCAGTTTTATTTCACCATTTTAACCCAATTAACACAAAGCCAGAGAACAGTGGTACTTGAAGCACGTAAAAATCACTTCCCATTTATCTTTGACAGGTTCCAGCTATGAACACAGTCAAACTTTTCTTTTGACTGAAGTATATTCCATATTCCAAGTTTTCATGCCTTCTAAGTTCATAACATCAACTTTATATGTATCTAACGATTCTCCACATCTAGTTAAGAGATAGGCCACTATTTTACTACATTTGCTGCATCACTTAAAAACAAATGTATTACCACTAAGCAGATTACTGACACACAAAATCTGTTGTTTTCTGAGACACCTGTCTTTCCTATGACTCAAAGGCATGCAGTTCCTCTCCAGTCTGCATTAAAGAACAAAACCAAAACATCAGATATCAAAAAACCGGAGAGAATGATCCGGCATGGGGGGACCTTCTCCATTTTTCTAAGGACAAACTGTCATAGATACTTACTTAAAGTTAGGTGCGTTGCACCCTATTTCATGAAGATTTAGGATGACTAAGAACAGTCTCTGTAAACACCTGAGAATATAAGAACTGGCATACTGAGTCAATCCTGTTCATGTCCTTGAAGTCCAACATGCTGTCTCTGCCAGGAATCAATACAGCAGGCCTGGAGAGCAGCATAGGCATTAAGCAAACATATTAAGACACTTCTCCAGGATGCTCTTCCAGCTTCTAGCAGTTAGGTGGTACCTTGGTCTTTTTTTGTTTGGTTGGTTTTTGGTTTTTTGCGCTACAGTCAGCCTCCCTTTATCCTGTACTCACAGCAGATATAATCAGCTTCGATGCTCAGAGCTGTTGAAAAATGTACCAGGGCAAGGCATGATCTGGAAAGCAGATGTGCTGACAGAACTCTGACTTCTGTCCTGACATCCCAAATCATCAGCCTCGGAAGTGAATGAATAGACTCCCACCTGTGGCAGGCAGGGCAATTGTGGCCATGTGAAAATTCCCAGAGGTTACAGGGCAAATGATCAAAAGTTCAGTAGATTATTGCTACACCCTGCACCTTCATTGATGGAGCAGTTCCAAACCTTACACTGATGACAACCTACAGCTGCCCACCAAAGAGAGATGCAAGGTGAGAACAGTCTCAACTCATGCTTGGACCTCACAATTACTAGACCTGACGGGACAATTAAGCAAACATCTCACTACCTTACTTTTTCCTCACCAGATGACGGTCTTTCATTTCTGAGCGTTCAAACAAAACATGCTGAGTGGTTTGCATGCAAGATTTTTGAATAAGTCCCAGAAGCCCTCCATGTGCCTGGCCAACCTGCAAGCCCGAAAGAAACTGGTTACTATGCAAACACACACACACTTAAATGATAAAATTCTGAACACAGATGCATCAGTTTCTAAGCTCGTTCACAAATGATAGGAATCCTCAAAAAGCATCAAAAGTGTGCACATACCTGCCTGTGTCTATTATTTTGCAGTCCTGAATGCAAGTTTGAATGCTATCAAATCCCACTCTTTCTACCAGTAAGTTTATCCTCTTACCCAACACTACATCTACGGGCATCTCAACATTACCAATATTTACTGACTCTCTTGTTCATACCAAGGAATAGCATCCATCACTGGCGAGGATTAGAACATCTAATGGAGACGTGTGGTTGGCTACACAGATGCCTCCTTCCTGTGGTCTGTTTTCCCTGCAATGACAACCATAAAAGTAATTACTTAGTGTTTATTCTCCAGACTACAGGCCACATCAGGTGGCCCATCCGGTGAGCATACATCCACAATAGAGACTCTCAGTGACAAATGCATTTCAGGCACACAGCTTATCTGCAGATCCATAGGAAGTGGAAGAACACAAAACATTTTAAAATACTAATATTACTATGATAAATGTTAAAACTTCTAGCAGTACATTACAGCAGATAAGTCACCTTTCCTCATACTTTCAAGAGTCCCTTCACATTTCAGTAGTTTTGGCATTTCACCAAAACCAGTTTCCTTTTAGCTGAGAATACGAGACTTCATTGGAGTAGGCATTTTAGCTGCATACATTACCATTCATAGAGGCATATATCAAAGAGTATTTGGACACTAAAACTCTAAAAGCAAAGACACTAGAGCATGATTTTGCTTGTTTTCTAAACCACAAACAAAAAAATATTTCAGAAGCCTCCATTACATAAAGCTCCACCACTAAGCAAGCAAGATATTACAAAAACTTACTGAAATACCATCCATAACTTACTTTAGGAGAGAGCATGAAGAATTAGTTACCAAACAAATCGGCTAATAGAACAGCTGAACATTTTATGGTGATGTTCTTGCGTGTGATTACAACACGTTCATGGAAAACACTGAGAAAAATATCTAAGTGCATACTCAACCAAGAACACAGCACCACTTCACCTTCGCATACCCTGCCAATACACAACAGAAAACATAGTAGGGCATGCTAACATCTTCACAGAGTCTAGATGATCCAAACAGCTTCTTGGATCTAGTCGCATCATCATAGTATCTGTGCAGTAATGGAATAAGAACCCCGCTCTGAAACTTGAGACATTGAGTACTGTAAGAAATCAATACCAAACCAACGGGAGCAGGGTGGCGTCACTCACCTGTTGTGGAAATGAACAAGACCACTCAGACATCGGACACCTAATGTGGCACATATCATCTGAACCTGATTGCTCAGCCAGCATTTAACTCTGAAAGAAATGAAGCCACGCATACATTTCCAGTTCTATGTAGTCACTCACAGAACAATGTAATGTAAACTCTCCAAATTATTCCCAATAGCTGTTATTACAAAGACCGTATTATGAGGATTCATTGCACTAACAATGCCATGCAGGAGGACCTTATCGGGTATCAAAGATATTCTTGTTCTGTTCTTCTACTGTAATCTATTATAAACCCACCAGATTCAAAGCAGAGAAAATAATAGTCAGGGTTTTGTTTTATAGATTTTCTCTGGAAGCAACTGCTATTCACTCATTCATTAACATTAATTTAATGTAAAAATATTTAGCTGGTGAATCACGTTTGAGTTTTTTGCACTGACAGGACATAACAATCTCACAGTATTAATATGGAATTGCTCAGGACAGATGATTTACTTGCCCTATTCTGACTCAAGTAGAGCATACTCCATTTTCCACTCTAAGACACGCTTCCAGCAGTATCTATCTGGCTTACATTGTATGTCCACTTTCAGATGCCATTGCCATACTCTCTCTCATAGTGCTCTATGAGTTTACAGTAGAGAAAAAGTCACCCCATGATAATCCACATTAATCCTCCGGACTCAAGCAGTATATTCCAACACACTAATTCAAATCCTTAAAGAAATAAAAGAGAAATGGAAAGAGCCCTCAGCAAACACCTACCTGCCATTTGGAAACTGTCCTACTACGGTAGTGGCCAAGACCAGCAAGAGGATGCTGAAAACAGCCAAGCAGACGCTACAAAGTAAAATAATCCTAATTAATTGCTAAGAAGCAAAATTGGAAGAGCAAGCAAGAAAATATTTCACTTAACCCTTTGATCCATTTCACAATGCTTCCCTCCACCATTAGCAGCATCTAACTAGCAATACAAACCAGTTAAGGCCAACAGGATAATATGAGCATGTGTTTTCACTCAATTAATCCTGCACTGAGTACAAAACCTTGTGCTGCCTGGAGCCTATGTTCCAAAAAGCACCACACCCTGATCTGAAGCTATCACATGGTAAAGAAACCATTGTGTTCAAAGAGGACGGCGAGTAGTGGCTGGTGTTCTTTAATGCAGATGAGATTTCTCAGTGCCAAAAGGGACTCATCGTTTCATTTTTAAGAACCTATCCAGAAATTTCAGTACCTATTTCCACCCAAGCAGTAAGCTACTATATAATCATGAAAATGAAACGTCATTGGTTACTAATGGCTGAGCAAAACCAATATTGAAGCCATTTCTACATAAATGTTGTTTTCTTAAGCTGCATAACTAAGTTTACACACAGGCATATATGCTCTGCTATGTGATTGACTGGTATGAAATCCCTCTATGCACTGCAGCTATGTTTTAAATATACTGTCCTCCCATCGAAGGAATAAGAAATTTTAAAAGCTCCTGCTCTTTACAAGAACGCATGACTATTTGCAACTGTTTGGTCAATATGATAAAGGCTGGTTTTGCTTAAAAGAAAATTTTAAAAGTCTGAAAATTTAATACATTCCAAGTGGATGTCCCTTTTTTCCATCCAGCCCTGTGCTCCCTGAACACTGGCTTTGCTTCAAATCCCAAGTGTTCAGCATACAGTCTTCCTGTCTCTTAGACAGGTAGAGCCTGATCCTTCCAGTTGAAAGAGTTGAAACATAACAAAAAGATCTCCAGATCATTTCTATAAAGTTTTGCTGGATTTTAAAAACAAATTAATTACTAATAAAACATACAGAACATGAAAAGTGTACATCTTCAGAACCTTTTTCTTCTTTTAGGGATATTTGAGTTTCGATGGCATCTTGGAAAACAAAGTCATGCCAGGTTCTCCTTTCTGCACTAGTCAATAGCATGTTAGTTCAGGTCTTTTGTAAAAAGTAACATGAAAAACAGATCCCAGCAAATTACATCTGGCTCACCGAAAAGGCATCAGGAGACAATACCGAATTAGGATCCCAATGACCCACACAACGGTCAGTTGCCAGCTGACATGGTGCAAGTTGGCATTGGTTCTGCTGAGGAGATTCCAGGACGCCAGCTCCTCAGAGGAGAACCGTCGGGTGACTTCGTCTTCTGCAACTGCCTCACACCCCTTCTTGGAGAAGTACATAACATGAGCAAGGTTGAAGCATCCTTGGCACTGGCCAGCAATCTCCTCTTCCATGGAGGTTTCCTCTCTCTGGATGATTCCTGCATGAGGAAATGAGTCTTCCGTCCACACAGTGGAATGGACAATACGGATTCCAAAAAGAGTAAAATACACATACTTTTTAGAAATAGCTCTCCTCCTACTCCAAGCACCATAATTACATTGTTATGCCCCATTTACATACTGGCATTTAGTTCCACAAGTTACTTCTCTAATCCTATGCCATATAACACCACTAAATTGTTGAAGAAAAGAGAACAGCATCCAGAGCAAGCTGCAAATAAAACCTTGAGGACACCACCTACTTGATTGTTATTTACCAAACCACATATGTACAGACACCTAGAAACATCAACAGTGCACTGCCAAGATTGCAGACCCCTCCTAGAGCCTTGACTCAAATTCAGGCAGTGTTTGTGTAGTTGTTCTTGCTGCTGTTGATTAGTTTTACTTTCTCCCAGCTGTAACAAACACCTTCCTCTGGTATTTTCTCAGAGCTTTCTCTCTTCCCCCATCCCTTCTCCTTTAAGAGTCACCTCACTACCACAAAACTTCAAAATGTCTAGATTTCGCCCCCCCCCCCCCCCCGCACCCACA